TTTAGTCGACTAAAACTAGACTAAAACAAAAACAATTTAGATGACTAAATTATGACTAAAACTAAATGACATTTTCGTCAAAAGACTATGACTAAAACTAAATCAAAATTTGCTGTCAAAATTAACAATGTGTAGCAGATTAAAAAATGTTCGAAATATCGCACCCTAGTGACATCTGCTGGCCAAATTGTGCTCACTAAAGCCAATACAGTGGTACGTCAGTTCTCGAACTTAATCTGTTCAGAACTCCGGATTGAATCCTAAAAAGTTCGAGTTCTGATCGAATTTTCCCCATAAGAAATAATGAAAAACCAATTAATTGGTTCCCAGCCCCCAAAAATTACACCTAAATGTTTTTTTTTTTTTTAGCATTTAAACAAAAAATGAACTGGATAAAACAAGAACAGCATATACTGCACTAAACACATCTAAGCACATTTATCAAAACAGTAATTTGTAAAGTAAGAAAATAAATGTATCCAAACAATGTGTCCTGCCCCGATCGTCTGCTCCTTCCGTGTGCCACGCCCCCTCGTTAACTCCGTGTGGAATCCCCGTGTGATCAGCTGTTTCTGGTTGTTGTCATTAGTACTCTGTATTTCCTCTGAATTTCAAAGTTCAAAGTCATCCCATACAGCAGACCTGAGTCATTTCCTGGCTCATTCCATGTTATAAATGTTGTGGTAACAACAGAGGACAAGGAGGTTGGATCCTGCTTATTCCACATATCAAAATGGGAGAGAAGGGGTAGTTAGGCTTAGACACAACAAACAGATACTAGTAATGCCATGGTTTGGTACAAGATATCTGGAAGACTGAGGGTTAAGGCTTCACCGTGAGCTGAATTGTAAACAAGCTTTGCATGTAGTTATGAATGAATGAATAAATGAATCACTGAATGAATGAACACTACATTGATGTGGTGCTTTTCAAGACAACCAAAGAGCTTTTGCCGAACCAACCGGGAGCCACTTAAATCACCACCACTGTGTAGCACCCACCTGGATGATGCAACAGCAGCTATTCTGCGCAAGTACGATCACCACACAGTGTCTATTGTGGTGAAAGGGCAGGACAGAATTTACCAGTTAGATACTGGGTATGATTAGGAGGCCAGATTTGATAGGGCCACATGGGCAAATTTTAGCCAGGACATCGGAGTACGATCCTACTCTTTCAAAGGATGTCCAGAGATCTTTAATGACCTCAAAGAGTCAGGACTTTGTTTTTATGTCACATCCATAGGATGACACCATTTTTACAGCACAGTGTCCCTGTCACTGCACTGGGGCACTGGGATCCACACAGACCACAGGATGGGCTGACCTGTTGGCCACACCAACACCAAGTTTTCATTGTTTCACAAGTAGCACCATATTTGATAGCAAGGATATGAAATATAACTATGTTATTTTATTTAAGTGGTTTTGTAGTCAACATTTTCTTATCCCAGATTATCAGATTGCATTTTTATGTACCCCACCATTTGAAACGGTTTGAAGCAGTATTACATAATGAAGCTACCCCATTTACACTATTTTTGTGGTAGTGTCATTTTTGATACGGATTGAGACTAAGTATCGAATCGCTATGCTTAAGCGAAGTGATGTTTCGAATTTAACATCACTAATCATGTTTGAAGGCGCTCTAAAATATGGAAATTGAAAGATTTGATGTAAACGGTCGAGAATATATAAATGTGACCTAAAATATTACACTTTAAATTTAGTAAAAAATTGATATTTCCCTGTTACAAATGGGTGTAGTTTATTCACTACTGAATACACCGAGTACAGTGGTACCTCGGTTCTCGAACTTAATCCGTTCCAGACTCCGGATCGAATCCTAAAAAGTTCGAGTTCTGATCGAATTTTTCCCATAAGAAATAATGGAAAACCAATTAATTGTTTCCCGCCCCCCCAAAATTACACTTAAATATGTTTTTTTTTTAACATTTAAACACAAAATGAACAAGATAAAACAAGAAGAGCATTTTTTTCTTAATGGCTTCCAAAATGATAAAGATCTTATCCCAACATTACCCCTGTCCTGCCCGATCGTCCGCTCCATCCGTGTGCCACGCCCCCTCGTTAACCTCGTGTGGGATCCCCATGTGATCAGCTGTTTCTGGTTGTTGTCATTAGTCATTAGTTGTATTAAGTCTGTGTTTCAGTTTGTTTCCCCAGTCCGGTCATTGGGTGCGTTCGACTTGCTTACAGCGCTGGCTTAAAGCAACGCATTCTGATCCTGACGCAATGCATTACGGATAGATGCATTAATTGCGACCTCTCACCCGGCTGCACAAACTGGAACCGCCTCCGTGACGACACACCTTTGCCCTTATTGGCTGAACAGTTTAGTTACACGCATGACGTTTGTATCCCAGGCAGTTCTGATGCGTAATCTGCTGTTTCTCCCGAATATCACGTAAAGCAGTGAGAACTGTTTTCCAGTTAATTTACCTGGTAAAATAAAGTTTAAATAAATGACATAAAAGCTCTAATAGTATAAGTTAGTGGTTTATTTATCGTTAGTTACTGTAATGTTGCGCTGCTTTATTTGGTTAATCGTCCAGTCTGTGAAGAAGACATTCAAGTAAGAATTGCATTGTAGTATGACTCATTTCCTGGCGCGTACAATTTATATTAGGTCAGCGTTCACGGTTCGACTTCTGATATTCAGATCAAGTTCTAGGTCAAACTGGTTTGACCTAGAAGTAGTTCTAGTGAGTTCGAGAACCGAGGTACCACTGTATTTTAAAACAACCATAGCGAGAAGAATTTTATGAGAACTACATGTTAATTTACGGCATCTTCCCTGCATAGCTGTGTCTTCAGTAAGTACATAAAACCTTCAATTTCTAGATCAGTAATCAAAAAATAAGCAGATATCTTCGGCTATTGTTCAGTCCCCCGCTGCAAAGATTGCGCTGAAATAGTATCGTATTGCGGCGCTCCGAGGCCTGGGTGGCGGCAGGGGGCGCTGTGCTGCTCCGGGGCTTCTCTCTTTCTCTTTCATCATATTTCAATATGGCTGCTTTAGGGGAAAGCCGTCCTTAAATGTGATTTCGAATTAAGAAGCCTGCTGCCTTTCAATGCAGACGAATGAGCGATGAATACCGTCCCGAAGACATAGAGCGACGCCATTGAAGATGAGGACGGCGCAGTGAAGAAGGATTTACAGTCGGTATTTCTTTTATAAATGACTTTATCTGTCATGAAGTTGGGCAGTTGTCGTAAGCATCTGACTACAGCGCCGGAGACGCGGCGGCTGGACAGCCTCGGTGGTTTAGGAGGGCTAGCCAGGCAACTTGCAGACGGTCTTAAAACACCCCTCAGCGTAGCTGTTCCCTGTCTAGTGGCAAAAAGCCATAGTTATAATTCCGTTAAACACAGTATATCACTGTTAGAAGTAGCGGTTCATTGGCAGCGTATTTATGGTAACGTTTTTAACCGGAAATGGGGCGGCAGGGAACCGAATATTTCAGTGTCCGTTATATTATTACCTTCTATATTGCAGCCAGCTGACCATTTATTTATGATATATTAAATTAAATTAGGCGTGGTGTTTTCTGCCTTAATAACTCATGTATCTCGATCTGGGCATTGAGCGTTACTAATGTATTATTGTTGTGAAATCAGTGTGTCGTACTTCATTCGACTTAATTCGCTTATTCCCGTCACTTATTCCCGCTTCTTTGCCTTGTCTATACCAAATTAGTAATCGTACGTATATGGGTGTCACTGTGTCGAACACAGTTTACACTTTGCACCCAGATGCATAGTGTACAGGCAAGATATGCCTAATGCTTTCAAAGTCCATAGTCTTCCAGTTGTTGCTGTTCTGGTTAACATAATGATAACAGGTACTGGAGAATTCTGATTCTGAGGGAGTAAAATGTATTTCTAAACAGTGGAGGGGAGTGGCGTTATTTTGCGTGCAGTTTTTTGATGGTGGCTAGTAAGAAAAAAGGAGTCGATTGGAGAAAATGGATTGATGTGCTGTTGAATGGATAGAACCTGTTTGGTTGAAGTGTGGGTTTATGGATCAGGTATATTTATGGGATGTTGGGGCAATGCTAATTTGGGTGCGGAAGGGCAGGAGTTCTGTGTCATTTAATTCAGTCAAGTTTCAAATTTTATTGTCACAAGTATTCAAAGAATACAGTGAAATTCTTGTGCCCCCACTGCAGGGTAAAATGAGTTCATGGAGGTATAGGATATCAAGATGCGATATCGGTATATTAGTGCTTTCAGGCTCAGTATTAAATGATGGCATGTGGCTGAGCAGGTTTGGATGCTGTGGTTGTGATCCGAAGGTTTCTGATTGAAATCCCACGGTTGGCAGAGTGGTGTCACCATTGGGCCCTGGAGGAAGGCCCTTAACCTCCAATTACTCTGCTTCCTCCAAAAAAAAGTACATGGCTTTGGCTGAAAGCATCTACTCTAAATAAAATGTAATAGAGGGATGTATAGTGATCTCGACAGGATAATCACCTGTCGTTTGTGGCGTGTCCTTTGGGTTGCAGGGAAGGAGTGATTCTGTCTTCCAGCGCAATGGAGAGCGACTGCAGGATCCCCATGGTTTGCCTACGACCCAGAACCCTTGCCCTGAACCTGCTCTTCTGGGGAGTGATATCGCTCAGGTGAAGCTCTGCCTCTTGTTTGCTGCTTATTGTGTTGATTCAGTTGTGGCAAGATGACAGAAAGGTGATTCTTAAGCCAGCAGGAATCCTGCCCTTGAATGCTGCAGTTTGGCTTATGTAGTCTGTTTTGTTGGCAGATTTTTCATTTCATCTAGGTTTCATATGCCTGATAATTTTAAGAAATATATTTTTGTAGGGTGTTTGGAGCTGCTCTGTTGGGTGAAGAGAAGAGCTCAGGTAAAGAAAAACGCCATATTTATTGATAATTAATTATTGAGTTACAGTTTATTAATATTACTACTATTGAGGGGGTGGGGTGTCCCTTTTTTCTTTGTAATCAAGCTGACACCCCTAACTACAGCGTAACACTAGTCATAAACTTGACCATAAGATATTAACGGGATGGTCATTGTTGCTGCACAATACTTTATTGAGTTCTTGCGCACACGCCCTTCTCTCCCATGGTGCATCCAATACCAATTTTCTGACTATGCCACTGCTCCCCCCCCCCACTTTTTCCACTGATCCGCACTGCTTGTTGCGTTCTCTGTGTTGCAGTGGACAGGACGGCCAGCACGCCTTGCTGGAAGGTGGAGGAGTTCATGGTGATGGCCAAGTGTGCTCAGTGCAGCACCTACCAGTCGGTGAGGACCATATGGCTGTTGGGGGACGATCCTACTACCGGACAGTGTCTCACTCCACGGGGTTCGAATCCCCAACCCAGTTTGCACAGTCTTTGAAGACCAACCAGTATTGTATGACAGCACTTTGGGAATGAATAAATACTGTATTAAGTAAATATTTACTTTATTGAGGATATTGATGATGGAGCACCTGCTTATAAAATTGTTCTGTGCATTAGAAGTCAGTGCTGGCCTGCAGCCCGACTGGTTACGTAGAGAGGATTGTTTGTGCCAAATCCAACAGAGATGAATTCAAGAGGTGAGTATCCATGTCTGTATCCACATTGGTGCATTTTTACTCTTTGCTCTGGGGTAATTCTGCTGTGGGGGTGGCGTAGTATATACATCCACAAATACTGAATATTTTTTTAAGCAAATACTCCCCCCAGAATAAGTGGTGCGGCTTCTTAGTAGAGTTTATACTCCTGGATACTTGGTTGAAGCCTTTCCGGTTCAATGCTTTTCTTGAGCTATTGGCCAAAAATCCAGATTATTTGTGAATTGTCTTTACTGTCATTTATTGTCGAGATTGCTTCCCCACCATTTATTTACTATGATAATACGTATTACAGTAAATAAATCAATTAAAAGTATCATTATTATCATAATTATGATTGTCAGTAATAACAACATTATGCAATATAGCTATACAGTATAAAGGTGAACAGTGAATCACAGTGCAGTCATGCAATCACATATTCTTTTAGCAGCATTAAACGTGACTTGATTTTTTTGTTTCTTTTAAATTAGCAGCAGGCGTGTGGTTACAAAATAAAAATGAGTAGCACTGTAAACAGAGTAGTTTGGGGAGTAGGTTGGCAGATGGGTGTGTACCTAGGGTTGTGCTGGGGTGACGTTACGAGTTTCTTGTCTGGTTGAGATGATTGATGGCTTTGTGTGGAATCTGTGGCACAACAACAGAAACTCCTCTGGTCATAAACCAGCGGCCTCACTTCTTTCGTTTCCCGCCCTCCAGCTGTCGCTCGTCGCTGTTGGAGGAGCGGCTCTTCTGGAGGTTTGAGGGCACGGTGTTGGGCCTGATGGTGGTCTTCGCGCTGCTGGTCGTCCTGCGGCAGCGCTCCCTGGACCGCCTGGCCTCCGAGAAGGTCCGTCGGCAGATCGAGTCCATCTAGGACCGACGGGTTCCTTGTGGCAAACCGGACCACCCGACGCTGTCAGAATCGGCTACTGGTCTTTAGCTGCTGACGAGTACACCAGCACCAGGTTCTTATTAAAACCGGACCGGTCTGGAATTGAGAAATCCATCGCAGAGCAGGAAGGCAGCGTTTGGAGAAGGGGAGCCAAAACTGGACCTAATTAAAGACTAAATACATGCAGCTGCCTCCCCACCCCATAATATATGCTCAACAGTATCTAGATCTTACCAGGATTTCACCAATTAAGACAAGCCTGGGCATGTTCTACCTAAGCTACAGTAAATGGACTGTTTATTGCAACTGATCAAATTAAGTAAAGTATCCCTATGCTAACTTTCCTGGATATTTAAGGATGTCAGAGCCGCAGGGTGTCCGAAGGAACCTGAACACAGATCTGGACTGGCATGCGGAGAACGCTGATGACGTGGATCCTGAGTGGCTAAGGCAGTGTTAATCATGGGTCTGTGCACCAATCAGGAACAGGGGCGGAGCACCTGTCCTGGGTGCCTTATTTGCATGCGCTGTGTCCTAGATCCATGGGTCACTGGAGAGGCCATGATAACCAGGCTCTCAGGAAGCTGATGGAAATCAAGTTTTTGGCAAGTTTTTTTTCTGTCGGTGGAATGATCATCTACTGACACATCATGGGAATCTCTTCATGACTTTTCTTGCTGTTGTATTACTTGACATCATTTCCCACTAGGATGTTTCTGAAGGCTGTGGTTTTGTTGGAGGAAATGGGCCTTTAAATCTTCCCAGTCGCATGTAGGGCAGTGGGTATGACTTACAAGAATTTAGTCTGGTTCTGGAAAAAAATGTAATGCAAGATAAGGGGGATCCATTCAGAATCACTGCTGGTGTTTGATGGCCTTGTGTTGCTTGAAAGTCCTGACGGTTTCCTGTTAAGTATTGCATTTTAAGTATAAAACTGTTTCTCCTCTGTCACTTAAAGGGCTGCTTTATAATATTGTTATCCTTTTTTTCAACATACGACAGTGTTTAATACTCCACTCTTGCACTGCTGAAACTGTGTCTTAAACCCCTATCTGACGTGGCAAATTAGTATTTAGAGCAACTCTGGCAAGTGTGTTACAGCTGTTATATAAACGTATGTGTATTTTTTTCTGTATTTTATCTTAATTGTTCGGGAGGTGAGACCAAAGAATGGTTAAATGGTTAGTATGAAAGGGAATCTTAAAATTAAGGAAGAAGATTCTTGTTTTAAGCAGAGTTGTGCTATTTCAAATATTTGCCTGAAAAATGCACTGTTATCAAGAACATTTCTCAGAGCCGTAAGACAAAATCTACATGTTAAAAAAAACAGTTTGTGTGGTTACAGATCTGTGTTTAACCACAGAGATGTTGAGCATTTTTCGCTGAGGCTGTACGCATCTGGGATCCTCGCTTTAGTGGTAATGTTTTTGCCTTATGGGGTCTCATATAGGTTCTTTTAATGTCCATCTCGACCTCACCAAGCTGCGGTACGTTTTGGAGCGAATGCTACCCACCTGCATTTCTCCGCCAAACCGGATCTCTTGATGCTTTCTGCGTTTCGTGGTGACGGCCGTGCTTTGGCAGATTGCTTTGGGAGCCGAATGGTAGCAGCGCGGTCTGGGCATCACACCGGGCAGTAATTCAGGGCTCACGTTTAATTGTGGGTTAGTAACTTCCCACAAGGCTGTGCTGGGTCACCTGTTGCATCAGATGGATGCCTAACCCGAGCGTGCCTGCCAAACTGTTTATTAACCCCCTAACCGTCTCTGCGTGGTTGTTTCACTTTCTCTGAATACCTCAGTATTACTCTGTTTTAGGCAGTCTATTTAATTTCTGTGTTTCTTTTTTTGGTATGCTGCCCTGTGATGGGTTGGCGCTGTGTCCTGTCCTGGGTTATCCCTTACCTTGCACCCTTAGTTTCTAGGATAGGCTCGGAACCCCGCAACCCTGCATAAGACAAACAGGTATGGATGGATGGATGGATAGATGGATTGACTTCATTTTATGCATCCTGGTTTATGCTTGAGAAACTGATGAAGCCTCAAGTTTCTTTGTCTGCAAAGGCTGCTAAGCTGATTTGTCCTGTAATTTCAGGCCTTTTCTTTCACTATGATGGATTTTATGTTA